CAGATATCTCTTTTTTCATGCCCTATGTTTGGCCACAGTTCATGTTTTTAAATTCACCCAGATCCTTACTCTATCTGCTTAATTGCAGCTTATAATAAGAGAGAAAGCTTTTGTTTACATTTTTACAGCACATCTGCAGACGGCAGGAGCCTGACAGCGTCAATAAATACAGCAGAAGGGCTCTGACTATACAAACACAATATCCTGCCCTGTCCTGTAATAGTCTGGCATTAAAACAATATTACAGTGTTTTATTTTCAGATTAGATTCCAGCCATAGGCTGCAGATTGAGGCAAGTGGAGTGCTTTATCTCTGCCATTTAGTGCTGACAGCTGGTAGACAGGACAGGCACTGAGAGGCATCGCCAAGCTTTTTATTGCGACAGAAAACACACATAGCGGATGGATCTGGTGTGATAACATCCAGTCAATTTCTTTCCCGTCCCCTCTGATTTATTTTGCGGCACCCGCATTATCTTAGCGACTGCTTTCCTGAGTCTCTTTTTAAAGTTTGTACTCTGTTTAAATATGCTTAGAACACAAAGAGCTTTAAATGGCTGTCTCTATTGTCGGACATAAAAAAAAAAAGAGAGAAGCACAGTTGGTGATAATCAAATGTAATTTCTATAAACAAACGCTGCCAATAATTGCTGATTGCGTTCTGTTAGCTGTTTTAACCACTTCTTTTTCATTTTTTTCCTCTGAAGGTGTCCCAAAGCAGCAAAATCTACGTCCAGCCTCAAGGTAAATTCTGCATGGACATCCTCGCCTGATGCTGTGCATCCTTGACTCACCGTTGAAGTGTTGCACTAATCAGCTTTGACATTTTCCCTCCATTATCATACTGTCTGCAGTACAGAGTTGTGTTTGCTCTTGCCATTGGCCACCGTACCATGTAGGACAGCCCAAATCTCTCTTCCATGTTGTTTACCACCGGTATCCTTGTTTGGCAAATAGTGTCCCTTCATAGATTAGACGAGAGCCCCCGGGCCAGCTGCATGGCTGAGCCCCAACCAGTGAAAGCTTAATTTTCAGGCTTGTCCCCAGAGAGCGATCATGCTGAAGTGCTTTTTACACAGAAAACAAAAATTGTATTTTGGATCACTGATAATTTTGAGCACTTTGCACTATTTTTTATGAAGTTCACTATAGCTGTCTCTGTGTTTATATTACAGGCATCCAGACAGACGTTACTGAGAAATTCTGCTGGACTGAATTCCTGAGGAGCTCAGGTACTATTAGTGCTTCAGGTTGTCATTATTCCAGGTACACTTTGCAAAATGTGTAATTGACAGTGGAAGATTTCTTTTTAGACAGTCTTTTTTATATATATATTTTGTTTGATGATGGTGGAAAATCAGTTATTTATCCAAAGTGATAAAAAATATTATTATTTCTTGTACTGACCCTTAATGGAAGGCCTTAAAGAAAATATTGAAATTATGTTCACAGTGGTGTGCAGAAGTCTTGGGCTACCCCTCATTTCTTTAGGGAAATGTGAAGTAGGTGTAGCAATTTATTGAAACGTGTGCATATATGGAAATATTATAATATACAGTAAAGTATAAAGCAATTACAGAGTTCATACAATTCTTATAAGCTTGAAAGTCAACGTTTGGTGTCACTACCTTAATTCTTCAAGTCTGAACTCTCTCAAGCTATCTTGGAATTTCTGTAAGTATCCTTTGGCTTCTTGAAGGACATTCAAAGCTTTTCTTTGGATGTTTCTGCTTTTTCTTTTGTTTGTTACAAATATGATCCCAAGCTGCTTCAATAATGTTGGGGGTCGAAGCTCTGG